TGCTTGGGCCTGAAAACCTTAGAAATCTGCTGTCTAATCATATAGTTACTTTAGATGACATAGCTCTTGCCTCCAGTACTACTGTGAGGAACCTTGGAGTCATCTTTGATCAGAATATGTCCTTTAAATCACACATAAACCAAGCCTCTAGATCTGCCTTCTTTCACCTGCGCAATATTGCAAAAATCAGGAGCATCCTGTCTCAAAGTGATGCTGAAAAACTGGTCCATGCATTTGTTACCTCCAGGCTGGACTACTGTAACTCTTTACTATCAGGATGTCCCAATAATTCCCTAAAAAGCCTCCAGTTAATCCAAAATGCTGCAGCCAGAGTACTGACAGGAACTAGCAAGAGAGATCATATCTCTCCCATATTAGCTTCTCTCCACTGGCTCCCTGTAAAATTCAGAATAGAATTTAAAATCCTTCTCCTAACATACAAAGCCCTTAATGACAAGGCTCCATCGTATCTTAAAGACCTCGTAGAGCCTTATCATCCTAACAGAGCACTTCGCTCTCAGAGTGCAGGTTTACTTGTGGTTCCTAGAGTCCACAGAAGCAGAATGGGAGGCAGAGCCTTTAGCTATCAAGCTCCTCTCCTATGGAACCAACTCCCAGTCTCAGTTCGGGAGGCGGACACCCTCTCTACCTTTAAGATTAGACTTAAGACGTTCCTTTTTGATAAAGCTTATAGTTAGGGCTGGATCAGGTGACCCTGAGCCCTCCCTTAGTTATGCTGCTATAGGCCTAGGCTGCTGGGGGCCCCATGATGCTCTGAGTTTCTTTCCCCTCCCCTCCTACTCTCCTCTCCTCTCCTCCTCTTCCCTCTCCTCTCTCTCCCTATGCTTCTATATGCCACCATTACACATCACTAACTCTGTGTCTCCTCTCTCCCGTAGTGTGTCCTCTCTCTCTGTTGGGTTTTCCCTATGTAATAATAATAACAGTAAAGTGTCTTTGTAAAGTGTCCTGAGATGACTTTTGTTGTGATTTGGCGCTATACAAATAAAATTTGATTTGATTTGATTTTGATTTAATAAGTCACAACAATGTGAAAGCAGTGGATCCTGTAAACAATAGCCAGACTCAGGCTCTAATCAACATTGTTGTGTATTCCAGGCTGTATTGATTTGACTACATAACTAGCCCATTTCCCTGCTATACCACCGCACTGTTAGTCATGCACCTACAGTTGTGCATATAGTTAGAGTGATAGACAGACACGCATGCATTTACACATTTACCCAGATTCGCTCCACATTGCCTCCAAATGCGCACTCACATAGTAAACACATAAGCTCTTCAACACAAGACATATAACTTAATAAAATTCAAACAATCCACAACAACTGCACTGCAGAGGTTCAGAACTGTATGGAAAAAAGAAAAATCTGAAATCAATATTTATTTAGTCATATATGTAATAAACAAAGGGCAAGACATCAAAGCTAAATCCTTTAGCTATTCAGTTCAACTCAGGCAATTTACCAAAAAGGTTTAGCAGTTAGCAATCATCAACTAATGCAATAGAAGTAAACCTGCCAGTTCTACATTATTCAGTGGTAAATTCTGTTGGGACAGAAAAGAATCAATAGCTGTTTCCTTAATTCATTAAAGGATGACATGTTTCATAAAATAACTGCATCTGGTATAAATATATCAGTAAGCTGAAATAAAAAAGCTATCTATTGAATTTACTGAAATCATATGTATTTATAATGGGCCATCCAATAACTGCAAGTGTGTCAATTTCTTAGACAAATATTAAATGTCAGTTAATCAGGTAAAATTTATGCACAACCTAGGGACAAATTTATACTTTTTTTTAACGGTGCACAGTGTATTGTGGCAAGGGCCTACAAACTTGAAATATATAAATAAAACAAACAAATTAATGGCAAACCTTCTGTTTTAAAATATTATATATAGTACTTTTATTTCCTTCTATTTATTAATATGAGATAATGCTACCAAGTACGTTTGCTCTCATTCAAGCTCTTTTTGAATACCAAATCCGTAAAGTCTGTCAAACCATACAGTATTGTACAGTGAAGAACTCCACAAACTCAAACTATCAAAAACATTAAAATGATATTTATACACAGTGTTAAAGTCACTGCTGTACCTAAATTATATTGGTCTAAATTTGTGATAATGTCATACAGAGTGGGTTTATCAGTATGTGACTCTACATCTTTTCCCCTGTCTGCCTCTCTGTCTGACCCGATGCTTTTCTGTCTTTCTGCATCTGCCTAATGTCTCTGTTCTTTCCATGCTGCATTTATCTGTCTGCCTCTCTGTCTGTCTCACTGCCTCTCTCTCTCTCTGTCTGCCTTGTCTTTCTCTATGTCTGTCCATCAATCTCTTTTCTACCATTTCCTATATCTCCATCATGGTGGAACTAAAATATCTGAGGAGCCTCAGCCTGACTGAAACTGAGACCTGGAATGTACTACTGTGAAGTTCAGCACACACGCACACACACAAAAGTTATATACTGTACATCAACAGGCCGACAGGTGCACTTCACACTGACATATGCATATGCACACTTTGACAGTTACATGCTCACACATATACACTCACCATTACCTATTATACACTTACAGTTACAGACGTATAAGTAAAAAAAACCAAAACAAAACAAAAAAAACAACAAAACTGAACTCACAGTGATGGTACAGTACTGATGGTTAGCCTATGGCCTGTGTGTAGAGGAGACAGTGCCCCCTGGTGTGGACCAAACAGTACTCCCAGTCAGCCATATCTTGACCCAATCTACAGTACTTTGAGAGCAGTCATTTACTTTTCTAGGATTGATTAGTCCTGCCTGAAACCTAGATGTTCCCAAAAATAAAAATACAAACCATTTCCTGAATAGCAGACAGAATATTAAAATAATGTGGATACAATAAATGCTTCCATCTCTTTAGTTATATAGCCAAGCATATCAAGTGCTATTTTACCCTGGTATTTTATGCATTTGTATAATGTTGGTATTTATTTGGTACAACAATATACTAAACTGGGATGCTGAGAGCACTGTACAGGTCCAGAGAATGTATAGAGCAATATTACAACTTCCAATACAAAATATTTCAAACTTCAAATATAAAAATGGTATTTACTGTATTTGCTCCCATGAATACATTGTTTGTTTTGTGCACTTCTTTGATGCCAATCTCTGTTACCTGCCTGTTTTGCTCTCATACTCATGTACCCATGTACTGTGACTGATGGGACTGGTCTACAGGCATAGGGATTTAGACATACATATATAAAAACTATATATTAGAACTATCACAGTACAGAGTTTTTGGTTAATGTGTGTGTCAGTGATAGATTTAGGCAGAAATCTTAAAATAGAAAAAAAAAATCTGACATTATATCAAAAATGTTGTTTTAGGTGGATGCTTACACACATACAGTATGTTGTGATATGTGCCTGACGTCATAACGATGTCAAGTCTTCTAAAAATATTCACAGGCATTATCGCTGTAATTAAGGGCTTTAAGGGATATTGTGCATTAATTAGTAGAAGCGCAATGTATCAGGATTACTTAAGAGGATCTTTTTTTCTACACTAAATGCATGTATGTATTTCGAGGTGATGTAAATTAATGAGTACTTTCTGCTAACAGGCAAGCTGTATTGCGTCTATTTAAACCGTGCTGCTGCTGTTTACAACGCTGCCAGACCACAGTGCAGTGGAGGAATCAGCACCTGATGGATGAATACATTCATTCGGATGAATACTGATGAGAAAAACTGCTAGGCCACTCTGCTCTCCAATAGCTGACACCATGACTGCCCGTTCCAAAACCGCTGTCACAGTTTTAGGTTTCCATCATGCTGTGTTGTAGCGCTTGTCTCCAACAGAGGTCATAATGCCTGTAATCACAATAATAAAGGACAATGCTATGCCCTGTTTTACACGCAGACAAGTCCTAAAAAGTGCACGCAAAGATATACAACAGACAGGTGAGTGCCCGAGGACACCGGCAAAGGTGAATGAGCAAAAACTGTCAAAAGCAAATAAGACTAGGGCGCACACACAAAGTCACACTTCAGCAGTGCTGTGGTAAGCTTGTTGTATCTGTGTAGTGAAGAGACTGTCCCTCGCCCCCTATAAAGCCACAAGCACCCACCACCAACAGCTTTATTATTTCTGACGAATGTAATTGTAATAAGGGATGAGCGTATTTGAGATGCGCTAAGAGGTGGAAATGGAGAAGCCGGGTAGCCTACGCCTCCCGCAGGTCAGAGCGCGCACACTTACTCGTGGATATGTTCGGGTTTGATAGCTGGACTGACGAAATAACCAGCTGCAAGCAGAGAGCACTGGCCATTTTATACTCTCTCTCTCTTCCTCCTTCTTTGCACAGTTTGTTATGAGAGTGTTAAGGGCATGGTTTGATCCAGACGCGGTGTGCCACAATCAGCCTGAGCTTAAACAATTAAAGCTAATAACCCAACCGCGCAAAATTCACTTATGTATACTTTTTTGCTTCACCTATCAGTCTATTTCTGTTTTGTACAGCAAAAACGCGAATTTTGTCAAGTAAATGAACCCACTTTTGTTTTTTTAACTCTAACGGAAAATATGGATTCAACATATAAAATGGCTTCATTTTAATTTTTGATACACATCACCTGAATTTTCCTTATACAGATAGCAAATGAGGCAGATCAGATGCAAACATTTTGATTTGCATTATCAACAGTCCAAATACTTTTGCATCCAGTAGGTAGATTTTTATTTAGCAATGTTTCCCGCAAAATCCCACATTAAACTAAAGGATTCTTTTCAAGATGCATCGACCTTATTGCATTGTGGAGCCTTGGTTTTGTTCCGAAGCTCCATTTCTATGAGGCAGAAGGGGGCGGGGATGGGATATTCAGATGAGCTGGAGTGACAGCTCCAGTTTCTCCCAATACTCTGTGTGTCTGAAACTCCACTGGCTCCTTCCCTCCTAACTCCTCACTTCATAGTGCTGCGTACTAAAAACATCGGACGCTAGGGGATCAAGACGCATGCCACATTGCCTCTATGTGGGCACCTTAACAGATCTTTCGGGGTTTTTTTTCCCAGTAAGGGGGCTGTGGAGGGAGGACTTTTTTTTTATTCTCAATGTCTGACTGTTTGCACGGCTGATTATTGAGCTGATTGTTTATTATTTTGGCTGTTGTTGCTCGCCGCCCTGCGCGCTTTTCTTCCTCCCTCTTTTGGAATCGGCGACCTATACCGTGCTAACCAATGTCCTATCCTCAGGGTTACCTCTACCAGCCCCCGGGCTCACTGGCTCTTTATTCGTGTCCGGCTTACGGGGCCTCGGCTCTGGCTGCCCCGCGTAATGAAGACTTGGCGAGGTCGTCCTCTGGCTCAGCCTTCAGCCCTTATCCTGGATCGGCTGCTTTCTCCGCCTCGGCCGGTGCAGGCTTCTCCAGTCCACTGTCATACTCAACGGATCCAACTACGGGATTCCCAACCTATATGGTAAAACGTCTCACAGACTCATGTACGATTTAGTATGATTAAGTTCCAAAGCAGGTGAATGTGTCGCCGTGTTCAAGTGGGTAACTGCGCAAATTGTTTAGCTGCAGAAGTGTGTGCACTTCGAATAAATCGGTTCACGTTTTCAATATTTTTTGTTATGATTCTCCAGTCGATAAGTGCTCGCGGAAACTTTGAGTGCTAGTACTTTAATAGGCCTATCTAATGACAAGCTCCCGGGGTCCTTATAAAATCCTTGACGCCTTTAGCTTGAATGGGATTTTTAAGCATGGGTTGCAAATTGTAATGACTTCCCTAACTTAACACTCGCTGGGCAGCTAATTATGTAAAACTGAATACCAACTTAGGATTTTATTCGAGTCCGTAGAAATCAATTTAAGTGTCGAAGAAACTGAATAGCACAAGCTGTAACTCTTCTTCGTCGACCATTAAAGCCACCAGGGGATGAAGCCGCTGACATTGCTCTGAGTTGAACAAACGCACTTTTAACATGAAAAGCATGACACGCAATGCTAATGTCACAGGACACTTCAAGCTTTTGAGGAAAGGTGCATATCGAGTGATTTGCTAATGGGATTTGTAATGCTGCAAAGGGGAGATGTGTTAACACACTGGGGCTGCCACTACAAAACAAAAAGCAGCTAATGACAGAAAACGAGGAAGTTAATAGGTAATTACAGTAAAGAAACTGTCCCTTTTATTATTCTAACTGCTATATTAACGGTAGCTCTGTTAATCCCTTGATTATAACCATTAGTTTATGACTTTCTGCGGCCTGCTTTTATGCACAACATCTTTACTGCTGGTGTTTGCAATTACAGTGAATTTATTTAACTGTGTGAACAGGGTTGACACACACACACACACACACACACATATATATATATTTATATATTTGTTGTTGTTTGTTTTTGTATTAAAATGACCTTGAAGCTATACAAAGTTTCTTTATCCATAAGTCATCATATTACACCATTAAAATAAATCTTAATTTTAGAAAACACCGCACATTTATTACTTTTTTCAACTTTTCCCCAGAGCTCCCCATACGATGCGCACACGACAGGAATGGCTGGAGCATTAAGTTACCACCCATACGGGAGTCCAGGGTACCCCTACCAACTCAACGACCCGGCTTACCGCAAAAACGCCACCAGGGACGCCACGGCCACCCTGAAGGCCTGGCTGCAGGAACACAGGAAGAACCCGTACCCGACGAAAGGGGAGAAGATCATGTTGGCTATTATTACCAAGATGACCCTGACGCAGGTCTCCACGTGGTTCGCCAATGCCAGGCGGAGGCTCAAGAAGGAGAACAAGATGACCTGGGCGCCCAGGAATAAGAGTGAAGACGAGGATGAGGAGGACGGGGACGGGGAAAGGAAAGAGGTGGAGCGCTCTGAGAAAACCTTGGATAACAGCGAGGCTTCAGCGGAGGATGAAGGTGGGGTATAATCTGGCGACCGAGCCAATGATCCATTTAACAATTCAGGGCAGAATGGGGGTGAACGAGAGGGAAGGGGTGCCCCCTTTTTATTTACTGCTCATATGGTTTAGTGCAGTAATAAAATATAAAGGACATAAAATTGTAAAATAGGCAAAAAAAAAAATATTTTTTATTACAAACAATCTGGTTTGAATGCTCATTCTATATATATGCAAGAGATGATGAATGAAAACGAGGTTCCAAGATTCAACAATGGGATAAATGACCTTGTTAAGATGAAGACTATTTTCTTTCAAATGATTAATAGCAGGTCACGGGGAAAGTAGACACATAACACAGCAATCACCATGAGTGGCCTCGGTGACAGACTGTTAATGATATGCTACTAATGGCATTTTCGTATAATTATGTAAAAGGGAAAGACTATTTTCATATAAAAGTGTATTTTCGTAGCTTCTCATTTAAACTGATAAAAAAGAACAATGAATATCTTAATTATTCAGACCGAGTTGGTTGTAAAACATTATGGATACACGTGGACATGATATGTTCATTGAATACAATGTGAAATTTAAGAGATTATTTACCTATTTATAGAAAATGCCTTAGTTTTTATTTTCGAATATAGTGGTCATTTTTATTTAATGTGTCTGCTTTTTTTTTTTTACATTTTCTCCCTTTATTTTTATATTCTGTGACTTGCTAGGTTTTATTTTAACTATAGGCTACATCCTAAAATCCCCCCTCTTGTCTTAGGTATCAGCTTGCATGTGGACACCCTGACGGACCACTCCTGCTCGGCAGAGTCTGATGGGGAGAAGGCCACCTGTCGTGTGGGAGACCTGGGCTCTGACCAAGCTGGAGAGAAATGCGACGAAGACGGCGAGGACCAGAACCATGACGCACGGGTTCAGCTTTCGCCCAAACCTGTTACGTCGTCGCCTCTAACAGGAGTAGAAGCGCCAGTCCTCAGTCATCACCAACACCATCACCACCACCACCACCTCCACCATCTCCACCACTTCCACAGCCAGCGTGAGGATTTGGCCCGGAGCCTCGTCAGTAGCAACAATATTAACAGCAGTAAATCGTCTTCATGCCTTGATAGCAGACCTTCTTCTGGAGCGCCTCAGAACCCGACAGTCAAACCCAAATTATGGTCGCTGGCGGAGATTGCTACCTCGGACCAAAAGCAACAAAACCAACTGGGGCAGCCTGGGCAAACAAATTGCCCCTCCTCCAGCGGTGGCCTCCTCACTCCCCCTACGCCTTCCGCCACCTCCCCGGGTGCCAGTTCCCCCTCCCTCTACCCGGCCCCCTCCATCCTTGGAAGACCTATTTATTACACTTCTCCCTTTTATAGCAGTTACACAAACTATGGCAACTTCAGCCCCCTGCAGGGCCAAGGGATCCTGCGGTACACTAATTCATCTGGAGTGAGTCTGGCCGCTGCCGCCGCCGCCGCCGCTGCTGCTGCTGCAAACGACGGTCTGAGCTCCTCTCACCAGGCTCTGGAGGCGAGCACAAACCCCAAACACAGGCCAGACTCTCCCCTCGTTAAAAATAACCAAAACCAGATTGTTGCTGTCGAGCAACAGCAGCAACAGCACTTCAGGCCCGCAAATTTAGAAGCAAAGAAAGGTACGTAATAGGTCTATCATTAGGCGGTGACCTGCTACTAAAACGATCACAATTTTGAAAACGTATTTATTCTAGTGCTGAATCCTAAAGTCGCATTTTCCTTAAACAACAGATGGAAAACGTTTCACGGTGGAAGTAGAACGAGTTTACTTGTTTCAAATGCAAATGAGCTTTTGCCCCCACTGGATGACCTTGCTGCTTTTGATTTGGTCCAAGAAAAATAAGGCTTTCCCGAGCAACCTTGAGTGAGAAACACGTGGGATAGTCTGACACGATTTGCAGATTTTCACTTGCTTTAAGATAAATACGATTTTAGTTCCCAATGTGAGACGAAATGCCTACTTAAGATGGAACTTGTTACACCGCAGTCTAAGCAAATGAGCGTGTACTCTGGTCTATAATTCGTTTTCAATGCAGTTCATTCCCAGAAATAATCGATTTGTAGTTGCTCTCATTTAAAAAAAAACAACTATATACATAATTTGGTTTGTCTGAATGTAACAATCAAGTAAGTGATGACGGGATTTAAATTGGCTCGCTCTGGAAACCAGTAGGGCCATAATGATACAAACCTACTGCAAACAAATGTGCAAGAGGACACCCACAGACAGACATTAAAATAAGACCACGGAGGACAGGTTTCAACCACGCGCACAGACATGCACGTACACACACAATGGCAGCGTGTGAATCCAATAACCAGAGAAATGTTGCCATAGCTTTGAGCAGGAATCCTATTTTTACTGTTTCCTCTGATATGTGTGCATGTGTGCACAGTGTGCCCCAAACCTTATCTTTCAGCTTAGGATAATTATAATTTCACAGGATCAGCCAAAAGCAAACAAATCAGTTAGTCTGCTCTGCATTCAGCGTGCAACTTTACATCTTCAAATTTCATTTAGGTGGTCGTGGTGGTTACTTTCCTTACGCAGTTCAAAGCTTTGACTGCACGAAGTTTTTTTTTAATACTGGCAATTATTAGGCAGGGGGAACTTTAATAAGCACTTGCAGTACAGAGCTGTTTTAGTTGAACCCATACTGGCATACTTTTTTCTGCTGTTGTGGAGGGAGTTGATCATTTTAACGTGTGGGATTTTTATTTCCATGGTCTGCAGGTAGGTGTCACAATTGCTTTGACCATAAAGCGAGAAAGGACACCACCTTTTAGCCTCATGTTTTAACCCCATAACCTTTACACCAAACCGGATCTAGTGCCACCATATAGTCAGAATCAAAGCTGCTACCGCTTCCTAAGCTACACACAGGCTGAGATACTCTCCAGCACACATTTGTGAGATTATCACTGCATTGTTTCACTTGTTTTGTTTGGATGCATTGTGGATAATAATTTTAAGGTTTGAAAAAATATCTCCCATTATATGTGATTTACATGTTGTTTCTCAGGTTAGTTTGCTTATTTGCCATGGCATATGATTTTAGTTTATATTTACGCGTGGAAACATAATTTGGCCTTTCTGTGAAACCGTATTTGTAAAAGGAGGTGTCTTGAGACGCAAGACGGACAGAACTGGAGTGAACTTGAGGACTTCAAAGTGGAATAGCCTACATTTGATATTTATTTTTTTAAATGATAGCGCAACGATGCCTATAATTTATGCAAGTTGTATTGCAAAAAATATGAAACTCTTTGAATGTAAATAAAATAAAACGCGCTCGTATAGATTTACTGGCGAGGTATGATATCCATTATTCAAAGGAGAAAATATTAAACTGTTTTCCCAACTATTACTGAAATCTTGGGGAGTCTTTTTTTAAAATTCATAACAGACCTGTATTTAACACTGAGGGTTTTTCCCACTGCTCATTTTTCTTTTATTTTGTCAGTCAAACACAGATGGGGAAATGCTTTTCATAAACATTACGAGCTTTCACAGATTGCACTATCCATTCGTTGTAAATGGACCGTCATTTGCTTTTAGGTCCTCATTCTGGTCAGGGAGGCTCCCTCGGCCACATATTCACGGCCTTGATTGGGATAAACGACATACTTATTT